TGGATACAAGACACTGAAGTTGCATTAGCTCTGCAAGCACACAGGGCTGGAGAAACATCAGCTTTCAGGGGTGCCGTGATGAGGGCCAAGTAACTGACCTGCTGATTGTTGATATATGGAGGGGAGGACACCCCAAGAAACCCTAAGATGGATGTTGATTTGAGAGGCCAAAGCTGCTGGACTGGATTCCATCCATGATATTGAACTGATTGCAGAGGATAGAACAGAATGAAGGAATATACTGCGAGCCCTATGTGACATATAATGATACAACAGGACAATGAATTTCCCTATTATAGGGAAAACAAGAATCGACCCACTGCCTACCCAAAAGCATGTAAGAGTCGACTAATTGGGAGCTTCCTTCTGAAATTGAATTGCACCTGCCTGAGAGGCAAGAAGCCAGCAGTCTGCATAAAAATGAGACAGATCTGTAAAACGGATGCACACGCAACACTCAGGTTCTGGAACAGGACTGCAGTCCAGAAGTGGATGAACAACCAGAACTTTTCACCAGAGTTTACAGCTGGTGAATGCGAAGAAGAAGAAGAAGAAGACAAAGAAGATTGAATCAATGAATAATTGATGATGAGTGTGGCCTTCAGTCTATTTCTTTCCTGTACTTCTTTTGTGATGTTCAGTCTCTCTGAATTCTCTTGCTTATGGGCCACAAAGGTCTGATTCCATTTTCCATGCTTTATTTGAATGTGTTTGTAACTCAGTGTGATAAAGAATGCTATTAAAAGACATATCTGTTCTAGCCGAATGGAAGTAGTTAACAGAACAAATGCATCCATACTTCAAGAGCTGAATATTGAAGAGGGTTGGCTAGTAAAGACAATAAAACAAAGAAAATTGAAATATTTTGGTCACTTGAAACGTCATGGAAGTCTAGAGAGAACAATAATGGAGGGGTATATGCCTGGGAAGAGAGGAAGAGGAAGGCCAAGGAGAAGATGGGTGCAGGATGTGGCAGATGATCTCCAGATGGGTGTATCAGACGCAGGACATCTTGCTCAGGATAGGAAGGTTTTCCGGAGGGTTGTTATGGCAGCGAGGTTCCGCGAGGGATATGCTACTGAATGAATGAATGAACTGAAAAAAATAAGCTTCATAAAAGATATACTATAACAACATATATATATATATGTATATGGACATAGTTATATTCTTATATATATTAAAGTGGCCGTAGCTTAGCAACTTGTAGTTTCACAGTTGGTTCTGATAATGTTCTCAGAACTGTGTTGTTATCACTTCATATATGTAGGAGATAGATTATATATACATATATGGGCACGTTTACAGTATTTTCATTTAAATCATGATGACTTTCATATACTATGTATGTTTTCCCCAGAATCCCCCATACATACAGTTCTCTAATAAATGAATATATACATGCCATATTGTGTTGATATGTTTTATTACTGTTAAGGCATTTTTGATTTGTTATTGTGAAAGGGTAGAAGTAATTGTATGACAGATACAGTCAGTGCTTTGTGAGCTGGTGGTTATGTGTCATTAACCTGTGAAGTCAAGATGTTGATATTGTGAGGTGCTTGATAGTGTCATAACTGTGTTATGGGTAGGTACTGTTATTACTGTGAGAGGTGATAGATACTGTCATTACTGTGTGATGTTATAAGTAGGTACTGTCATTCCTGTGTGAGGTGATGTTTTCTGTCATCCCTGTGCGAGGTGATGCATACTGTCAATACAGTGATAGAAACGGTCATTACTGTGCGGTGTAATAGATACTGCCTTTGAAGTGTGAGGTGATAGATAAGAAAGATATAAAATCAAATGAAAAGTAATTCAGCGAGCTTCGCAATATAACAAACATATATAAAATGTGAATGTTGTCAGCACATACATAAATCAGAAAAAACCACACGAATACAAAAATCACTTAACTCACATATCCAGATGCAACCACGTGGGTGTCTTGCCAGTTCAATAAAAAAAAAAGAACACACTGAACCAGAGAATAAATACATATGCAATGCCAAAGGCCGTAACTAGAGAATTTCAGATGAAACTCTTGACAGTTCAGTCCCCTGGGTGTTAAAATTCCCAAAGAGTAAATGAAGCGATTTTCCTGAGACTTGCATACTCTGTCACTAGAGTGGCTAGATTTAATGGCTGTCACCTCCATGGCGTGGACACTTTGGTGATCCTGGTAATTGAAGTGCAAAGGTACTGGCTTTAGGGTACCATTCTAGCCCTATACACCCAAAGGCGTGGAAAAAGGACCTTTACTTTTCTTTTAACTTAGTATTGAACAGACTATTTCAATTGCGGTTAGGGGAGAGAAAAAAGGGGAGGGGGTGGTGAGGTTCTTAGAGATGTTTAACATTGAAGGGGAAACAGAGACGGACTTTTAATCAGATTCCAACTGGTACTATTAGCATGTCAACTATTCGTTGGCTACTGAAGATGGGGACTGAGCACGTGTGGGGATATCCTGAGTGCAGTGATGTCAATTGAATGATTGATTGATTGATTCATTCATTCATTCGTGTAGCAGTCGAAACTACCAGTCACGTAAATGATTTTGCTGCCACTTTGACAGACCAGCTGGTATCCATGTTTCATTTCATGCTTCTGATTTCAGTCTCCTATGGAGCATGGGCTGTCAGCCACCTGATTTACCAGGAAATGCGACTTGCATGCAATGTTAAGTATTTTCACTGTCTTGCAAAGATCCACATTATTGATCCTATCTATAATACCATTTGTGGTGCCTGCGGACAATAAAGGCAATTAAATAGAATGGATGGAACAATGGGGCTTGAGTTTCGTTAGTGCCTATCAGGCTATCTGTCAGGGTTCCAACTTCTTCGCAAACGGGTCAGTCGTGCTAGAGGAAACCTGACTTTTTCTTTTTCTTTGTTTACCGGCTGTGACTTCCGGCGAAAAATCCTGGTTGTTCACCCATTTGGACATTGGCTTTGTGCTAGGGCCTGACTTTTGCACGTAGATGAATTTTACTGGCTTATTTGTGTGCAGATGGTTGTTTCCTGCCACTCTGGCAGATGCACTGCGACATCGAATGAACTAGTCGACTCTTACGGCATGCTTCTTTAGAGGCAGTTGGTCTATATCTTGTTGTCCCCACTGGGAGGTCAGGAAATCCATTCGGGGAGAAAACCAGACAAAATGCCATCTCTTCCCCATGTGAACAGTCAAACAGCAGTCCCTGCCAAACTCAAAAGCTTGCACATGCATCAGATGTATAAGGCAACCACAAGAGGTGCCAAAACCAACAGTCAGACAAACCAGCAAGTGCACACGCATTATTGCAATAAGGCATACCTTTAATTATGTGGGAATCAGTCATTTTCCGAATATGCAGCTATTAACACACATTTGCGGCAGCAAAGCCAAGGGTTGAGGGTAAATTGCAAATTAGGTGAATAAAAGGAAAAGAAAAATAATTTTTGATCGTCTGTTTTGAACTGGTCCATTCTTGTATGTTTGTAGTTTATTTACAATTATTGTAGTAATTCAGCGCGTGTCCTCTGTAATACCGTTTACATAAAATAAAGAATCAACAAATAACACTAGGAGAAAACTCAAATTATATTTAGGTTAAATATCAAGCACAAAGCGATAACAAGCGATGTATGATCTGGCAAAAATTAAATTTCTGAATTGGCAAAGAGACATTTACAGGCGTAAAATATCGTATACACAAGAACAAAAAGAAAACAGTGTTTGATAATGTGGATACACTTGTAATTCGCAGAATTCCTAGTGCCCATCTTAGACTTTTTGATAACATGGCGCTTCTCGAACGATGCCAGCGGATTAGAGCTGCTAATTCTGTCGTTTGAGGAGCCCTGCGAACTAACAACTTTTCCCGGGTCATAATTATTATTAATTAATCAGCAAGTCCTTTACAGAACGTCGCTCTCTTCACGGCACGCCTGAAAGTATCCCTTTCCCTAACCAGCTCTCCGGTCCCCATGTGCTTTCAATGCTAATGCATCTTCAATGTCTTGTATCCATTATTATTATTATTAATATATATATATATGTATACATATATATAAAATCTTAATGAACAAAAATAGGGAAATTCTACCAGATTTAGATATAAATTTGAAGGAGAACAAAAAACTGGTAAAGAAACATCATCTTCTTCTTCAGCATTCTGAACCCTAGAGGTTAATTGCTGTAGATATCACCCGCCTCCATTCATCTTTCTGGTTGACCTTTTTTTTCCATTTTGACACCAAATATTTGTCTGTCTGTCCGATATTATCTCTCTATTGTCTTCTTGGTCTGTTTTGTAGTCTACGACCATTCAGCTCCCTAGTGTATACATCCTCTCCCTCTCTGTCATCTGAAATTCTCTCAATAGGCTCCAACCATTTCAGTCTGTTAGTCTTCGTGATGCCAGTGATTAGTGGTGATTTAAACAGATTATGAATTTCGTTGCTGCTTTTCAATCTCCATTCCCCGCTGTTTGCATCTTTGATGGGTCAAAAGTTTCACCGTGAGATTATGTTTAGAAAATTTATAATGTCTTCATCTCTTTTAGTTGTGCTTCGAGTTTCAGAGCCCTATAAAATAACTGGTCTTATCAACGTTGTACATATTTTGATCTTGGTTTTGAAAGATAGAGACTGACTTTAACAGAGGTCGAAGGGCATTGTATACCTTATTTCCAGACAAAATAAGGAACATTGTATTCTAGATTTTCTTCTCTCAGAATGTTGGAGCAGCTGAAGTTTGCACCCAAGTACTTGTATGTTTTCCCTCTTGATTTTCATTTTCTTGATTTGTATGTGGCCGGAGCCAATATCCTTTATAAATACAACCAGATCTCGGAAACTCAAATACTTTGATCACGTAACATGTCACACTCCTTTAGAAAGAAGAGTAACGGATGGAATATTTTATGGAAGACGATGCAAGGGACAATAGGACCAAAAAGATACAAGCGGGCTGTGATGACAGCGAAGTTCTGCTGACTGACAATAATTAAATATTTATTCGAAAATTGTGCTCGGCAGATTGTGTGCAAGATCGTCAAGCAGACCTAGAAGATAGCCCATGAATGTACAAAACGAGGCTCTGTGTTTGGTTAGTTTCAGTGTTGCGGCGGGCTTACATCTCTGCTGACCTTTAGGCTTCATAGGCTTGTTTGCCAGGGAGGCTGACTTGGCCGCGAGAAGATCCCCTAATATCCCACCATAAGCCATATCAGGTGCTTTCAGCTGTATTGTAATTTCGTAATAGACACGCTCCCCAATGGCACTTCTAAATAATGTTACAGTTATATTTTCAAGGGAAATAACGATCTCATGTTGACCTTTGATGTGATTCGCTGCTCCAGAACTTCCGGAAACTCTCCAGTGTTTGGATGTGGCCAGTAGAATGGTTGTCATGTCCTCAAGAGAAGAGTTCAGTACCAGACGCGACGGGAAAACAATTCCTCCCTTCTTCTGAGTGACGAGGTACACGGATGTTCCGTTTGCAGAATTAAGAAGGAGATACATACCAGTTTCCATATAATCAGACACTAGGCTGACACAAACCGTACCCATTTTTTCGTGCGACACAGTCACCGTTTTGATGACAACTTTCCTTGGTTGCTGATCTTTGGCGTGGTTGTCCTTCGTCACTGCACTGGGAACAGTGACAGTGCTGTTATGCTCCATCTTCATAAAGTTCATGTTGCTCCAGAGTTTTGTGAAAAGCTCCTCGTTGACACCCGTGCACATTTCCATGGCAACAGATAGGTCGGCATCTGTCAATATGGTAGACCTCCTGGTTTGGTCTAGAGACTTCCTGGGCCGACAATCGTAGGGATACTCTGTGGAAGTTTCGGGAGAGGTAGATGTGGGCGTCGAGGTTTGTCCGATAGAATCCTGACTCAGCACATTCTCAGGCATTAATTGCTCGTCACTGCTGCTTCTCTCAATTCTTGTGATCGTTTTTATTGCAGCTGAAGAACGTTGCTTCTGGCTTCCACCAACCGCATCAGACAAACCACTAGCTTCGCGAAGCTGGCTTCTAGCGGCTGAGTCAAACTCTTTCCTGTTTACAAGCCGAGCTGACTCCTCGTTGATCACCTGCAACAAGCACTAGAGATTCAGTTTAGACTGTTTTAAAGAAGGAATCCACAATGATATCTTACACAATATACAGTCTGAAATACTTGCGGAAACTTTCACAAGTTGGTATATGAGTTCTAATGAAAGTAAGATTGTGATAACAGAGATGAAATGCCAGAGAAAAACTCTGGGAATTTCAAGGTAAGACAATACGAAATCACGAAATCAGACGAATGCTAGGAATAAAGCCAGTCTTAAGGTCATTACAGAACAACAAATGAAGTGATTTGGACACCTGACAAGAATTTCCTGGTGCTATCAACCACAGCGAGCCACGCTGAAACGTTGCAACAGGCAAAGAGCTAGTGAAAGACCTCGGAAAAAATGGAGTGATGGTATTAAGAATAGCATTACAGAAATGAACGTCAGTCTTAAAAGTGCTCTTGACAGAACTCATTACCGAACGTTACACCTCACCCCGATACTTCACTGAGGTACAAGGTGGAAGAGAAGAAGAAGAAGAAGAAGAAGAAGAAGAAGAAGAAGAAGAAGAAGAAGAAGAAGAAGAAGAAGAAGAAGAAGAAGAAGAAAAAGAAAGAAAGAAAGAAGAAGAAGAAGAAGAAGAAGAAGAAGAAGAAGAAGAAGAAGAAGAAGAAGAAGAAAAGGAAGAAGAAGAAGAAGAAGAAAAGGAAGAAGAAGAAGAAGAAGAAGCGTATGTTAACTAGAACGTTGCGATGTCTAGTGCCTGGTTTATCACTTCTGTTGGAGACATACTGGTTGTGCTGAATTTAGACATCAGCTGAACAAGAAGCTACAGTTAGGGCTTCATAGTCTGCAGTTCCTCAACTAATTCCCCCCCCCCCCTTTTTTTTTTAAATATTTAATTTGCAATTGTATTTGAATACAGCGTTATAGATGATTTTATAAAATCATTTCTGTGATTTGGCTGCGAGGATTTTTATCATGGTATGGAGCGTCGCAGGTTGACCCAGCCTAAAATGGGTACCAGGCTGGCTGTCATGGGGAAGTAAAGACGGCCAGAGTAATGCTGACCACATTACCCACCGAGTGCCAATTGTCTGTAAAAATATAGGCGTTCTTCCCATATACCCGATACGCCGAAAGGCCTGAAAAGGGATCTTGACTTTACTTATTCCTGTGATTTAACAAACGATATTCTTTAATATTTATTTAAGTAAAAATTACACGAGAATACATTTTCATTATCCTGGCATTTAAAAATCATATCTATTTTACAGTTTTTGTTATTAAAGATTAACTGGTGTAATTTAAAACAGTAATGGCTTCAGAGCTTTATATTTCTGAGAGCCTCATCAGTCTAAATCCAGCACTGTATAGCCGGCATCCCTGTGTGGGTTTCCTGACCCCATTGTAGGGGGAAAAGAATAGACCTACAGCATCCCCAACAAGCATGTCGTAGGAGTCTACTAATTGCAGTAAAATGGATTACACGCAAAACTCAGACCCTGGCACAAAGCCAAAGTTAACAACAGTGATTTTTTACTGAAGTTTACAGACGGTGAACAAAGAAGAAGAAGAAGAAGAAGAAGAAGAAGAAGAAGAAGAAAAAGAAGAAGAAGAAGAAGAAGAAGAAGAAGAAGAAGAAGAAGAAGAAGAAGAAGAAGAAGAAGAAGAAGAAGAAGAAGAAGAAGAAGAAGAAGAAGAAGAAGAAGAAGAAGAAGAAGAGAAGAAGAAGAAGAAGAAAACAGAAGAAAAAGAAGAAGAAGAAGAAGAAGAAGAAGAAGAAGAAGAAGAAGAGAAGAAGAAGAAGAAGAAGAAGAAGAAGAAGAAGAAGAAGAAGAAAAAAAAGAAGAAGAAGAAGAAGAAGAAGAAGAAGAAGAAGAAGAAGAAGAAGAAGAAGAAGAAGAAGAAGAAGAAGAAGAAGAAGAAGAAGAAGAGAAGAAAAAGAAGAAGAAGAAGAAGAAGAAGAAGAAGAAGAAGAAGAAGAAGAAGAAGAAGAAGAAGAAGAAGAAGAAGAAGAAGAAGAAGAAGAAGAAGAAGAAGAAGAAGAAAAAGAAGAAGAAGAAGAAGAAGAAGAAGAAGAAGAAGAAGAAGAAGAAGAAGAAGACAAAGAAGAAGACAAAAAAGAAGAAGAAGAAGAAGAAGAAGACAAAGAAGAAGACAAAGAAGAAGACAAAGAAGAAGAAGAAGAAGAAGAAGAAGAAGAAGAAGAAGAAGAAGAAGAAGAAGAAGAAAAAGAAGAAGACAAAGAAGAAGAAGAAGAAGAAGACAAAGAAGAAGAAGAAGAAGAAGAAGAAGAAGAAGAAGAAGAAGAAGAAGAAGAAGAAGAAGAAGAAGAAGAAGAAGAAGAAGAAGAAGAAGAAGAAGAAGAAAAAGAAGAAGACAAAGAAGAAGAAGAAGAAGAAGAAGAAGAAGAAGAAGAAGAAGAAGAAGAAGAAGATACCGGACCAACAGTCAAAATGAGGAGACTGTAGGGTTGCAGGTGCTAGTGATTATGGAAACTGAACAATAATAATAATAGTTATAATAATAGTAAAATAACAATAATAGTAATAATAATAGTATTAGTACAAATAATAACAATATCATTATGTTAATAGTAATAATAATGGTCACTGTAGCAAAAATACAATATAATAATAATAACAATAACAACAAATGTACAATAAACAGGTGTATGTCTAGCTACCATGAACGATAAAGCTGGCAATATGATACATGTTACTGTCACATACTGACATTGATGTCAGAATTGGGATCGTCCAAATGTTACTTGACATTTAGGCATAGAGATGAACGGGTCGGTTTGTCTTCAGGTCTAAGATGACATCCAAATAGAAGTTGAGGAAAGCGTGTGCGGCTGCCGTCTTATAGACCCTAGTCGCACGACGACCGAAGCTGAATGAGGAACACTGTGTCCCGCTGGAATCTTTGTTCTTGTTGGTTGTTCTCTTGTCTGGGGGAGAGCTGAGCATGTCCCCGAGCATTCCTCCGTGTAATCCTCTCTCTTGTTTGCCAACGCTGACAATCATCTCATAGGTGATGGCAATGGACGATGCAAAACGCTTCAAAGTGATATTTATATTCTCAACCTGAATACTCATTGACCTTGGATCTTTTATTAAGAAGGTAAAATTAGCATCTCCTGTTACTCTCCACATATGGCTAGTTCCCAAAAACACGGATGCAGTATGTCCGTCTGAGGAATTGAACACCAGCCTGTTTGGTATGACTAGACCAAGGTGCTTGTTCCACCCCGTGACAAGATAGAGAGAGGAGCCGCGAGGGGATGCAACTAATGTGTACGTCGTGTCCCTCTCCAGACTTTGACCAGGATCAATGCAGCCCCAACGTTGTCCGTCTGTTATCGTTATAGAAGTCAGAAATATTCGATGGGATGTTTGAATCTTAGGCTCAGCGCTATTGTTTCTGAGTTGTCTCTGTTGTTTAGAAATGTACCTCCCCTTCTGATTAACGTTGTTGTTATCACAGAAAGCTGCTCTTTCGCGCGGACTCATCTGTTGAAGTTTTGTCATGGCCTTTCTCAGATATCTGAAGGAATTGGCGGAAGCTCCCATGCATACCTCTACTAAACTAGAGATGTTTGTTAGAGCCAAGAAGCTGCTTTTCAACGCTTCCTTCAAGGACTGTTTAGGCCGGCACCATGGCTTGCGCGTAGTAGTGGTAGTGGTTGTTGTTCTTACAGTTGTTGTTGGTGGTCGTGATTTGATGAACTGGATGGCTCTGCTTTTATCTGCTGTTTTTTCTTCATTATCGACTGCAGTTTCGACAAGTTGAACCCCTTTCTGCGGATCATTGACGACAATGGAAGTCACCGGAGATCCCAAACTGTACTTTAGAGACAGGTCCAGAATTTCCTCTAGATTCTGTGTGTCGCCAGTTGTAGTTGCTCGCTTCTCTTCCTCGCTCAGTTTTTGCTCAATAGAAACCACAGCCCAGGTTTTTTCCATGGAAAGAGGCTCTACATAAAAAGCGGATTTGGTGATGTTGGTAGGGATGGGAGGAACTTTTGGTGCCAACTCTTTGACGTCTTTCACTTCAGATTTAATTTCCTTTTGCCCTTCCTGGCTCATAAGATTAATTTTAGCAGCAAAATGGGTTGCGTTTGTGTTGACTTTGCCACTTACAATAATTTCAGACCCTTCATAAAAGGAAGAGAAATGCCTCTGCGTCAGGGATTGCATGTCCACTGTACCATGCTCGTAGGAGAAGACAACATTTCTGAAAGGCACCCTAGAAATTTCGTTGTAGAAATTCTCCACTTGTGAGGCAGCATCTCTGTCTGTGTAGATCTTCCTGTAAAAACCCCCATTTCTGGCTGACAGAGATTTGATATATTCCAAATCAGCGTCATCCCCAAAAGCCAACCCGTAGATGGCGATAGATCGGTCTTCTGGAATTATTGCTGGGTTCTGGCCGTCAGTTAGGAAAAAGATCATCTGCAGTCTTTCCGAGCCACTTGCGGAGGCAAAAATCCGCCTAGCTGTCATGATCCCAGAGTAAATGTTGGTGCCCCCATCTGCATCCAAATTCCTAACAAAATATTTAGCATAGTTAATGTTGTGGGCATTAACCTGTCGTAAAGAACTAGCCCATGTTTCTGATCCCCAGCTGAATATCACAATATTGAAGCGATCCTCAGGGCGAAGGTCACCTAATATTTCTAGCATGGCTTCAGTCATCTGCTTCATTTTGTCACCCGACATAGATCCGGATACGTCGAGAACAAACACGATATCCTTGGGGAGCGGTTTCGCGTCTAAGGGCGCGAAAAAGTGTGTGAAATATCCATCAGCAACAACAATGTCGCCGGATGGACCACGTTCAACATCGTACTGAACAACAAAGATTCCATTAGTTCCTGCTGGTCCTTGTTGCTCTAATGTTGGATTAAAGAGCACAAGAGCTGTTGTTGGAGAAGTGTGATCGATTCTTGCAATGTCATTTTCCCTTTCCGCTGCCTCACTTGGCGTGTATGAAAAAGGCCGTACAGCTGGGACCCGGACCTTTGTGAGTGGAGTGTTTTCTTCGATAAACACCTGCACGAATAAGTCTTTCACCGGCTGGCCAGGAGATAGATAAATCTTATGGTCATAAATACCGAGTCTTCTTTTCAAAATCTCCGTGTAGGTTAACACGAACTTTGCGTTGTCTCCGGCGGCTACCCTTAGGGATATCCCGAATTTATTACTGTCACGACTCGTTTTGATCTGCGTTGCTCCAGTTCCTGTTGCGGCCCCTGGAGAGACCACAGTTCTTTCCTTGATTTCGCCATTGTAGGTAACCCCGCCTGTTGTCATGGAGAAATCAACAATGAAAGCGTCGTGTGGCATGGCGAGACTGAAGCTCACGTCCTGGGAATGTAGGGCCGTGTTTCTGGCGATGCTTGTGTAGCGGGTTGTGGCAGATCTGTACCGGATATGGGAGTGGACATGGATGGACTCGATCACCTGCCAGGAGATGTCTTAATATCAGTATTCTGGTTTTGATCATCTTGTCATGAATGTACAGAGAAACAAAAGCGATGACTGTTGTTTTACGTGTTGTTTGTTTGTTTGTTTGTTTTAGTATCCAGAAGCCATGAGTTGTTAATCCCTAGGCTCTGTATTATGGATATCGCAACCTTTCTGCCTTGATTCCATATCAGATACCGTAAATCTGGGAGAAATGTAGCTTTTCTGCCTACCCCCGGGAGTGAACCTGCACCACAAGGAGTTCGTCACCCAGTCACCGCGCAATCTGGTTTAGCCAACTACGCTAGAGAGCTGGGCTTGTTTTACGTGTACTTTATAGGCACACGACAGTGGTGTTTGTAGAAGACAGTTGTAAATGACTTGAGACAGTCAGACCAACAAGACAGTTGTACATGACTTAAGACTATCACACCAACAAGACAGTTGTACATGACCTGAGACAGCCAGACCAACAGGACAGTTGTACATGACTTGAGACAGTCACACCAACAAGACAGTTGTACATGGCTTCAGTCAGTCAGACCAACAAGACAGATGTACATGAATTGAGACAGTCACACCAACAAAAAAGTTTGACATTACTTGAGACAGTCAGACTAACAAGACAGTTGTACATGACTTAAGAGAGTCAGACCAACAAGACAGTTTTACATGACCTGAGACAGTAAGACCAACAAGACAGTTGTAGATGACATGAGACAGTCAGACCAACAAAACAGTTGTACATGACCTGAGACATTAAGACCAAGTACAAGACATCTGGATATGATACAAGACAGTTAGTCCTAATACCGGACAGTTGTATTTGATGTGAGACAGTTAGTATTAGTACATGACAGTTGAATATGATGTGAGGCAGTTAGTTCTAGTACATGCAGACAGTTGGATTTATTGTGGAGACATTTAGTCCTAGTACAAGCAGACAGAAATTATGCATTCTGACCCAGCACAAGACAAGCAGACATTATATAGGGTGTATTATTAATGACACTGTGTTGTTTCGAAAATATTGCGGTTCCTATTTTTGTAATCACCGTCTGAAAACAGTAATGAGTCATGCTCTGCTGTAATTTGCATGTTTTTGGGTACTGTTTTTACAAACACAGCTCTGTTTTAACTGTATAAGGATGAGTCACTTGAGTATCAGAAATGGACTTCATAAATTGTTGAACAATCACATTCGAACAGCTGTCACCGTTAGGAAACACACGCTCAACTATAAATACTTTTACTTATACAGTTAAAGTCATTATAGCTTAGACCAGTTTCTAAACTATTGATACAAAGCAGTGATATTATTAACTAACAGTTACATGGGGCTTAAAACATGACGTAATACACACATTTAATTATGGTGCATATGACTGGGTGAACCCTGAGAACCGCCTGGTTTCGAACACCGGCCGTGGGCTACAGCGAGTCGCATCTGGATTTGAAAGCGCGTCTCATATCGACTGCGCTAACGCGGCCCGCAAGGTAAATAAACAATAGAGACACATATTAGCGACATTGGAGTCGTAGGTGACAATTATAAATTGGAAGCAGTTATAAATAGTAAGCTTAGTTATTTACGTAGTCGTTCATCTTCTACCTTGGAGTGTAGAGGTGAGCCAAAGAGGTCGCCAGATTCTCTCAGTATTTCAGTATTTTTTCTTTTTTGTCCCCCCCCCCCCCCCCCTTTTCCATTCCAGACACCAGATAGTCAGGGACTGTCGGATACTGTCTTTTCATGGAATTCTGGGTCGTCTTGGAGTCTGGTTCCCTGGTTCTTGGCCTCCCAAGGCTGCCGAGATGGTTGATCCTCCTCCATATTGTATACATGTCCAAACCATCTTAAGTGTGAACGATTTCCTCGAGTTTGTAAGGTAAAGTATGAATTTCAAGGCACGACGAATTGTCTGGTTGCAAACTTTGTTCCTTCTTGTCACTTGAACCATCTTTCTCAGACACCAGCATTTATGGTATTGTTGTTGTTGCAGGAAGGGAAACACGCTTTGAAGTACTATACGTAAACCTCATCGGTATTTGTGTGTAAAACACACTGACAATAAGCAGTAACTTGTTTATCCTTTAAAGGACCTTGTAGAACCAAGCCCAGCATTTTTTGACTGTTGCGGTTTTCTATGCAAAGTTTACGCTCAGTAGTTTGCCATTGCGTCCTAAACGGTCAGCTCTCGGTACCTCTGTCAAAACCAGCGCAAGACAAATCGTCCGCAGATGGGAACGAGTCCGGCACTCTGGCATTAAGAAGCAAGTTCGCAACCCTTAAGCCACAGACGCCCTCACAATAAGCAGCTTAAAAAATGTGATTAAAAATGGGAGGAAAAAAATATACATAGGCGCTGAATGTTAAATGTTAAATTAAGAGTTGACATCACAGTACTCGGGAAACCCCCATACGCGCCCCATCCCCATCTTCAGCAGAGATAAAATTCCGATGGTACCAGTAACTGTCTGATTGTATATCCGTCCCGCTTTTCCCATGAGTGTCGAGCGTCAGCCAGATCCCCTTGCAGCTCCATTCTCCTCAGACCGTAATGATCTATCTGTGCCTCGGCACTGTTCACTTGCTCCCAAAGGGCACTCACAACGTCTAGCTTGTCATACATCAGTTCACCACTAAGTGGTGCAGAACTAGCCAGTCTATCCGCCTGCTCATTTTCCAACACACCGACATGACGTGGAGAAAATATCCAAAGGATGGTAACAACCCGTGATCTTCGAAGTGATGCTTGCCACTCTGCACGGAGTATGCTCGTGTCCACCTTTCTCAACATACTCTGCGAGTCAGTTACAATGACGACATGTGTGTACAGCTGATTCTCAAGCCAGCGGAAGGCAGCAGTGACTGCCTCCACCTCCATTCTCAAACTAGACGTTGTGATATCATATGTCAGGCTTTGTTGCACTAAGCGACGTTCAATCGCCTTCGCTATGAACCCCCATGCACTTCGTCTGCCCCTCAACACAGAGCCATCTTTATATACAATCACATCACTTGGGTGCGAATTGTCATGAATTATTTGTTGAACTTCATATTCTGCAGCACCAAAGTGATTAGACCCCTACACAAGTCTGAAACCTGAACCGACACTTTGACCCACTCTTCTCCTCGTCTAAATTTATCAAGCTTACCAGGGCACTTTTAACAAGAACTTGGAGAAAACCATTCATCTAAATCAAAGTGTCAAATAACAAGAGAAACAGTCACACACACACACACACACACACACACACACAAATCTGGTAATTTAGTGACTGAATGCCCGGCTCTCTAGCGTAGTTGACTAAACCGGATTGCGCGGAGACCGGGTGACGAACTCCTTGTGGTCCGGGTTCAATCTCGGGGGTAGGCAGGAAAGCCACATTTCTAAGAGATTTACGGTATTTACAATAGAATCAAGGCCGAAAGGTTGCGATATCCATAATACCGAGCCTAAGGGTTAACAACTCATGGCTTCTGGGTACTAAAACAAAAGAAACAAACAGTGACTGAATATCAATGTGATGGCTGAAACTGTTTTGTCTTGCTAATATTTAATGAACT